GGGAAAGAGCTTTAACATGTTTCTTTACTATGAAAGAAAAAACATCCAGTGGTTGAATCGCAGCCATGCATCGTGTGGACTGGTGAGCTCTGGTCATGATGTATCCCAACACGATACGCTGTTTGGGTTACTGGTACTGAAGTGGAGGAATTAATCATCCCTTTCCCCTTCCTCTGGTTTGGCATTTGTAGGGGAGGGAGGCGTGAGTGAAGCCTGCCTCTATTCCTGTTCCTTCAGACCAACATTTTGCTAATTCCCTTTTTTGTTTGCCCATAGGATTCTGTGGCTCTTCACAGAACATGTTGCATAGCCCTGTTTCAGACCCTTCGTGGACACTGATGCCAACCCTTCTCTCACTCCAAGAAAACGACAGGGCCCGTTCCTAATTCCTGATTTATTTTTCTATCTGTTTTATTGACACTCCTTCTGTGTCTCCTGGCAGACCACTGAATCAAGAGTGAACTTTGTCGTCCTGAGGCAGCCAGGCGTGCAGCTATTGGACCCGGTAGAAGACAGCAGCACATCAAACAGCAGCAGCAGCAGCAGCAACGGGGGAAGCCCAGTGCACCATCGGAGACGACTGGAACCGAATCACTATAGGCGAAAATCTAGCTACCAGAAGGTAAGTTTGGTAAATAACGGCAAAAGTGCTGGTGGTTCCTGGTCTGGCAGATGGGTTATGTTTGCTCTGTGATGGCGATTTGTCATGCAGGGCTGACCAATAGCTCCCTTTCTTCTTGAGATGTTGAAAAGCAGCAGGTTTGTCGCTCTTGGTATTAGAGAACTATCCGTTTGTCATGTCCCTAGGAAACAGTTTTTAGGGAAAAACTTGTCCAGACTTCTTTGAGTGTCTCTAATGATGCAGAACCAATATTCCATCCTTTCTTGTCTGGAAAGGGCAGTGGGAAATTCACCATCCATGAGACACTTGGAACTTGCTTCTTGACATCCATCAAGCATAACACTCACGGTATTGCATGAGGAGACGAAGTTATGCTTCTGGTTTGGAGCTCGAGGGCTTTATGGTACAGAAGTAGAAACTACACAAATTACACTGTAGTGCTGCTGTGACTTGTGCTGCATCTGCCATCCGTTTGCAGAAACAGTATGAGCAAGAGGAGACTCGCCAGTCTGTTGTAGAGATTTACTCTATGTTTAGAACTTCCATTTGAGTGAGAAAACTTATTTACAACTACTTTTGTGTTTAAGTGTCTCTGAGGTTTAGTTAGTAGCTGTCATAAATTCCTCAATTTAAATCCTAGAATATAATTTACATATTGTTTCAACAGCGTACACCGTAATGTGTGCTTTCACTGCAACCTAAACATTTTGTAGGAGCCAGAGAGGTTAATTGCTCAGTATGAATGGCCTTGAAATGAAACTGTAGCTTGTTCCTCAGTGCAAAATTGTTCTCCTCAGAGTGAGCATCTCTACAATAAACACATGGGATCATTAGGAGAGCAGTGCCTCAGGGGTGGTGGTACCACTTTGGAAACACAGGGTAGTATTTCTAGCCAGAGCAAGTGCATGACAAGCTGAGTTTGCCATCCAGCAATGTTGCTGAAATGTTCTGGGTTAAAGATACAAGACAGTCTGTTCTTTTTCTTCCAGATCTGGGCTTCTGATGTTAATTGCATTTTGTACTATCATTTCTTTGTAGGATTTACCTCAGGGATACGTAAGTCATGAAAAGACAGTTGCAATAAAAAAGGAACCAAAGGAATCTTTAGGAATAACAATAGGAGGTGGAAGGGATAACAAAAACAAGCTCCCTATATATGTAACGAGTGTGCAGCCCATCGGATGCCTTTTCAGGGATGGCAGAATCAAGCGAGGTAAGGAGACTCTCAGACCCTTTATCCTTTAGGAACTAGGTGGGGTGGGGGCTTCAGTGAAAGTTGGACACTGAAGTGAGGCTGGAAATGGGGACCCCCATGAGACCTTGAGGCAGAAATGGGCTTCATAGCCAAAGGTTTGTAATAGCCCTATCTTACTTAATCAACAGGAGATGTACTTTTGAGCATAAATGGCATTGATTTGACTCACCTGAACTACTATGAAGCGGTCTCAGCGCTGAAGTCCAACGCAGCTTCTCACTCGGTCGTACTGAAAGCCCTTGAAATCCTTGCAGTGAACTCGACAGAGCCATCTCTGGACATCAAGGAGCAGGGATTCAGCTGGTCTCCCCTCTGGATCACATGGCTGGGATTGCCTAGGTATGTTTGTTGGGTGGCTGTAGAGCGAGCTGTTCAATCGCAGACCTGACTGTCCTCCAACACTAGAAATTAGTTGATTGTTGGTTGACCTGGAAGCATTACTGGTATTCCATCTAGCTCTACAGCAAGGGAAAGCCTTGTCAAGGAGAACAGAGTATAACGAATGCGTAAGAAACTTCCACTGCTTTTTATGGTGTGACCCGTCGTTCCTCCACTTCAGCTGGACAGTAACCGTATTTCAGAAGTTCCTGAAACCCCTTTTTTTTTCTAGGAGAACTGACACAGAAACTGAGAAGTATAAATGCTAGCAGTTAAGACACCAAGTTGACACACAGTCAGTGTAGATGCAGTCCCTGCTAAAATACCATTAACTGAAACCACTCTGTGGCTCTTTCTGGATCGCATAATCGAAGCCAGCAGATACCTGTGCTGTTGGGTAGTTTGCAACCTGATCATCCCAGTCAGGCAGGCATTCTTTCAGCCTTACCCTTTTTGGCTGTCTCATCTTTAGCATGAAGCAGAAATGATTCTGAACAGTTGAGTTTTCCTGCTGCAAAGCTTTGGACTGTAGACTTCACACAGATTTTAGCAGCAACACAGCAAGTTCCAGGTGACAGGGTTGGGGCTTTCAAAGTCTGAATTTCTATCTCCTTCCTGAAGAGGTGAACCTCTGGTTCGCTCACATTTGCAGTTCCACCAAAATGCATTCTGCTGTGAACTGTAGAGTCTGTCATTCCAGCTGACTGCAGGAGGATTGTGCAGGAGATGCACGTGGCACAGTAAAGCCAAATCCAGTGGGAAGCTTGGATTACTTACAGCCTCGTTGCTTGAGGCACCTGAAAGAAGAAATACTATCAAAACCTCTGTTTTGGGTTGTCTAGCTGCCTGTAAATGCGGAACAAACCAGCCCACAGAAGGCAGCTGGTGTGTCCCCAGCGCCTGCAACTTGGCTTGAACTCGGCACCATCCTACTCGTTTCCTCTGCTCTCCCGGTGAATCGGCCTGTCTGTTCCGTGCAGGCCCGGTGTGAACTAGCCTCAGCCGCACCCGGACAGCCCAAACCCGAGTACAAACCCGCAGGTGCTGGCTGCTGTTTGTTCCTCGTGAGTGCTCCTGTGGTGAAGTACAGCAAAGCAAAACCTGGCTGTACTTTCTCCCTTCTTCCTTTTCCAGTTTATTGGGATGTCTGGCGGCTTGCAGCTTCACCACGCTTTCTGCTACAGGGGCTGGCATCCACTCTTTGCTTGTTGGTCACCTGCCTGCATTTCAAGAGTATACTGACATTACCTGCCATTTAATAAATTGCTTGCAATTCTTTTGCTGCTCATAGTAATGCAGGCTCCCTTCATTTGGCTGTTACTGAAGCAAGGAGCAATGATTTCAGATGTCCTTCCTGCTCTTCAGTCTTCCTTTCTTACTCTGACCTAAATTCAGGCATCTGAATTTGTTCTTGAGAGGGAGGTTAGGGGGTACAAAGCAAACTTACTTCATTTCATAGCCTGACAAAACCTTCCCTCTTGTTTCCAGTAATAAAAATGGCTGTAGATCTTGTGCTTCATCACTCCTTTTCCCATCCACTGACGGTAAGACCTGGCAGCACCTAGCTGGCTAGCCACAGAATGAATGATTTCCCTAAAGACACTAAAAATCTGCGTTTCAGCCAAGCAAGGTATTGACATTTGACACTGTGGCTGGCACAATCAGCTTATTTTTAATTACTGTTTGAGAATCCCTAAACTGAAATGTCGCCCTTGTTTTGCCACCTGGAAATGTACAGGGTGCCTCTGTGCCAGTTTGGCTCAGGAGTGTGCGGTTGAAGCGAGGATCCCAGCTGTGGTTTGACTTGTGCTGCAGAGGGGTCTTGACCTGCACAAACCGTGTTCCTTCTGAACAGGGCTAAACCAGAAGTGCTGCAGAGGAATGCCCATTGCACTCTGGCACAAACAGACATTGTGTGTACCATGCTAACACCACATTACAGAAAATCCCCCAAAACGTACCTAAACTAGGCGTTGTGACCGCAGCACCAGCTGTTTCACTCAGATCTCTTCCTTTTGGGCTGTTCTGCTGGAGTAGACGCAGCCTCTTGTGTACTAAAACGTTTTCCAGTGCCGTGTGAAAGTTAATGCTGATGGCATGTGCCACTCTGGTTTCGTTCAGCTTTTCGCCCCACCAGCAACTCCTCTGAGCCAGCAGAAATATCCCTTCCTCCTTAGAGGAACCCCATGTATTTCTTCCTAGTTTGAAGCGGAACTTCATGCTGAAAGACTGGAGTCGGAATTAGTGCTCAAGGCTAGGGAAGTGTGTTGTGTCGTTGCAACACCTGAGCCCGGAGTGTTTAATTCTAGCCCCGGTTCTTGTACCCGTGGCGTTCTGTTTATGTCCAGTACTGTCCATCACCTGGGCAGGCTCGGCGCTGCGCTGTTTCTGAAGCCTGGAGCCCCGCTAGCCCACTCTGCAGAACTTGGGTTAGGCACTACTGCTGCGGCAGGGGTTTAGGAGAGAGGTCACAGCCCTGGTCCTGTGTCTTTCTGGGGCCCTGGGTAACGGAGGGAATAACCTGAGTATCTTGGTCACTTTTTTCTTGAAAGAAAAACTCTGTGCTCCTACGGCTGCCCTCACACTGCAGCACTTGCTGTGGAAGCTTGTCCTTGTAAACTTACTCCTTCTGCATTCTTTGCATTGTTAATTGGTGGTAGTGAATGTTCTGAATTAATTATATGCTACTAATTATTGCTGCTGAATGCTTATCATCATCACAGAAGACTGTGTAGGAACGTCATGTAATTTCTTCATAGTATTATGTTAGATAAGTACCAGCTACTGATAGTATAAAATTCTGTCTCAAAATGCTGTTTTGGAGGGGATGCGTGTCCAGATTCATTGCACGCTGAATCCTAAAGATACTTGAAATACCAAGTTTACAGATTGATTTCTCTTTTCTCTGTAAAAGCTTTGACTCTTGAAAACAATAACTGTGCAGTGTGGCTTATGGGTAATTTGTGGGGTGGAAAAGCAGCTTTCCTCCTGCTCTCTTCCTTGAGGCTTACCTGAAGCCAGTCTCTGTGAAGGCCGAGCTCTTTCCACAACAACTGTCCGGTGCTCCCTGTCATGCCCCCACAGGAGTGGCACGCTCCACCTCTGGAAGGGATGCAGAGCTGCAACCTCAGCAGGCCCTTTGCCAGAATAAAACTCGAACTTTTACTTTCCGTGAAGTCTAAAATTCTTTTCCCACAGTCATTTCCTATTATAGTAAACTAACATTTCTCTTCCTAAAAACCCTTTTTGATATAGAAAACTGATTTCCAGCAAGCAGCCTTTCCCAGCTCCTGCAGAACGTGTCTGATGTTTTTATTCACTTTCTGCACTGACACAGCGTTCACCACTCTTGCTCTCTGGGCTGCTTACTTGCACCAGAAGCCATATACACTTCTTCCAGCTGTGATTTTGTGTTTGCGTGGTGCTGGTAGAAGAAAACCATGAAGGCACCAGTCCGCTAGAGCTGGGTGTCCCAGTGTTTTATGTGTGAAGAACTCACACAAAAGTAGATTACAGTTTGAAAGTAGATAATTGGATCTTTCTCCTAGTGAGAAGTTGACTGAGGCGGCTTTTGAAATCTGAAACTCATCTGCAAACTGCTCAAGCAAAGCCCTTGAGGCAAAAACGTTTACTGGGAGACGTTTAGCTGCTGGAATAGCTCCGTGGCAGGATCCGTGGCAGTTTCACACCGTGTAGCTCTGGCAGTGCCAGAATGTAACCTGACTGCGAGCCAGAATACGGGAGCTGCTTGCCCGCGCTCCCGCCACACCTTTTCAGACGCCTCGCGGAGGCTTTGCGTGTCTCTGCTGCAGACTGCGCTTAGCACGTTCTCCAAGGCAGCCCTGGTGCTGCAGCCAGACCGTGGGCTTACCGACAGCTGCACGCCAACCCAGGGCTCTGCCATCTCCGAGTTCAGGGTCTCTCTGTACGCAGCAATCCTGGAGCAGGCAGGCAAGACCCTTCCTATTTCAGCTCAGTAGTAGCCAGAAGAAAGGCTGCCGTAGCTCCTACGTTTGCTTTCTACCAGCAATACACAGCTGCTGAACGCCGGCATTGTAGCAAGCATGCGGTATACAGGTGGAGTAAAAAAAGCTCAATTCACATATATTGCATGGGTGTAACTGCTGTTCATGATTAGTTTGGTTTTGTCACTAGTACTGTGCATGTTCATTAGTAGAATCCATGAAGTTATTCGTAAATCTTTCAGGTCACAAACCCCTCTAGAGAATGGTCATTTAATTAGCGCTGACCATGCTGAGAATCAAGATTTCTAAAGGACTGGCATCTTCAGCTTGGAGAATTCGCCCTGTGATGTGCCCTGCAAAGGGATTGCCTCAAGTCCTTAAAAAAAGAAAATCAGTATGCAAAGCTGTGTTTTCTGCAAGGGGACACGCAAATTTGTCAGGCAGTTTTCCTTGAAACACACCCACGACCTTTCTCTGTGCCTGTCTTCACAGCTACCTTCACTGCTGTCAAGATATTGTCCTTAGTAAAGGCAACCTGGAAAGCTGGGGCTTCAGCATTGTTGGAGGGTTTGAGGAAAACAAAGGAAATCAGCCATTCTTCATCAAAACCATCGTGCCTGGGACTCCCGCCTTCCGCGACAGGAAACTGAAGTACGTATGAGCTGCCCTGCGCGCCTCTGCTGTCAGTACTCAGTGTGCACCGTTCTACCGAGGGGCTTTTACCCTTTCAACTAGCTGAGCTGAAAGTTCAGGACTTCTAATTCTTAGCTGCTCGTTGGTACGGTTAATACTGATACCAGACTTGTAACAAACTAAGTCCTGCAATAATGAATGCTTGGGGGTCGCTGTCAAGGTACAGCTAAAAGGAATTAACAGTTACACTTCAAAAGGCCATAAAGGTTTTAACTGAGTAATCAGATACTAGTACAAAGGGGATGTTTGAGGTGAATCTTGGAGGTTCCAGAATATAAAATCTCCTGGATTAGGAAAAGTATCCCGAACAAAAGCCCTCCTGTGCAGGAAACTTAAAACGAGCTTTGCTGACCTGTTTGTCAGTAGTCAGAGCGAGTGGCAGGGTGAGGAGCGGAGCCGGAGGGCCCCACGGCACTCTCTTACAGCGTTATCCTTGGGAACAGCAGAACCGGTGCCTCAGCAAGCACGCAGCAGGCCGCAAGTACTGTGAAAACCAGCAGTGAGGCTGCTGTCTTGCAGGGGATAGCTTCACTTTAGGGAGCTGGGTGGGAGCCTTGGTGAGGGAGGGAGGTCAGCTGCGTTCCTGTTGCAGTGCCCTTTCCCCGTCAGACACAAGGAAGGCGGTAGCTAGCTTCAGCATCTGACACCATCACAGCCAAACGGCACAACCACTCGGAGGACAGCTCCGTGTGCCCTGAGGTGGGCAATCAGGCAGGACCCTGAAACCCTTGTTGTATTGGACTACGATGTGGCAGCGTGCCTCAGCCTTTGGAGCACTTCACCTTAGTGATCGCTAATCAAGTAGCTGTAGGAGGGACCTGGGCAATGAGTGTGTTTTATCAGCAAAAATTAGTTTTCTCTAAGTTTTGCCCCTGCTAACTGGCCAGCTGGTCACACTGCTGGTGCCCTTCGCTGCTGTGTCAGCCAGGTACCAGCAGTCTCCTCCTTTCCCCTTGCCCTCTTTCACTGAGAAGTGAAAAAGTTGTTTCAACAGAGAGTTGATGATCTTGACCTTGGGGGTCATAGGGTGAAGTGTTAACAATTAAGTCCTGATGAGCACGTTTCCTGTCTTCTCATTAGGTGTGGAGATGAAATAGTGGCAGTAAACGGAGTGCCGGCAGTAGGAATGAGCAACTCGGAACTGATCCCAATGCTGAAGGAGCAGAGGAACAGAGTCACGCTTACTGTGGTGTCCTGGCCAGGAAGCCTCGTGTGAAAGCTCAGCCGGGACAGGCACCGTTTCAGGTATCGGGTAGCGGTTGGCCATCACACAAAGCGCAACGCGACAGACGAACCAAGGGAACGCTGAACTCTTGCTACGCGGCGTGTTGCCACAGAGGACTTCTGGCTTCCTTTTTGAGAAAACATTTCTGTGCTGAGGTTATTGACAAATCTGGTTGTTGGACTCAATGGCTAATCCCAACAATGGTTGTAGCTTCCTGGGCTCATGAAAGCTCCTTAGGATTGGTGTTGCAGAGAAAGCTCTTTCCAGTGTTTCTATAAAAATTGCCTTTGAGGCCCTTTCCTCACTTTTAGAGCTCTGCTTTCCACCAAACAGGCTAAAGCTGGCGTGACTGTCCGATTGCCCGTTAGTTTAATACAGTTCTGCTACTGCTCTGCTGCCGTCCGTGGACGTTGAGTCACTTTACACTTGCTCTTCAAAGCCATTAATAAAACCGTGAGGATGGGGACCCAATTAAGCAGTTCTGTAGCCCCCACTCTTGATAGCTGTAGGCTGCTGAAAGCTAACAAGTGTGTTTATACATGAAAAACCCACTGTAACTCACAGTGACGCGCTGCTGGGTTAGCACGGTGGAGCTGTGGTGACCGTGTGAAGGCCCTATCGCCAGGCGGCCGTCACAATCCCCGTTTAGGATCCTGCTGATTTGTTGCAAATGAGCGAATTAGACCCTGTAAAAAATCACCTCAAAGGTACCTGTAAAAGTGGTTTCAGTGAAAGTTGTTGTAAAGTGCAACTGTAATGAAGCGTGAGGGCAGGGTTCACACTGTTAGGTACCCACAGAGCATGTAACCACCACTCAAAACTGACACAAATCAAGGTCACTGTACGGCGGGGTTATGCCTGACGTCAGCCAAAGACCTGCCCTTGGGGAAAGGTCTCTGCCCGGAGCAGCAGCCTCGAGGTGGCGCAGCTCAAGGGGCGATAGCGACCTGCCGCCTCGCAGGCACGCGGCTCGCTCACGCTGTCATGTCTAAGAAACTTGCTTACTTTTCATCCCCTTCCACAGCGTTTCCCTACCTTTATGACTTGATGGAATGACCAGCTTCTCCCACAGAAGGCAGATGATTAAGTGAATGGACTTGTTACGAGAAAGCTCTGTCCCAGATCTCTTACTTGTATCAGTTTCCCAGCGATCAGATGCAGAGTTAAGGCAGGGGGAGGAGCATGTACCGACACAGCACTCCTGAGACGAGCTCCTGCGGTTCTGCTCACATCCCTCTTGCAGCTGGAGCCAACTGTCAGCTCCCCGGATCAGGGTAATAAGCTCAAAGGGTCGTTGGCGGCCTCGGCCACCTCGTTACCCGCTGTATGAAATAAGGTACCTCCAGGACAGCACGCCCGGCTGGGCGGCGGTTCAGGGCTGCTGGCTGGTGGGTTGGTTAGACCTGCGATGCCTCGCTATGTTCCTTCCTGGAAACTCCACCTCAAGCACTTCCCTCCTTTTTTAGCAGGTTGTTAACCAGCAGAAGTGACAGATCATTCTCAGACCGAGTTGCATTGAGAGAGATCTTTCCTCTCACGCTCTTTCCGTACCTTCTCCAGGGCCAGCTCAGAGTATAGGAATCAAAGGAGTTTCCCCCTGTAAAAATGCCACCTAGAACGAATGTTTAGTTCCTTGTTGTAGTAACCTGAGTGCAGGTAAGTGGATCATCATCTTAAGCACTGCTTTTCTTAGGGCTGGCTACTTCCTAATTAGCTGTTGCTGCAGAGTAGAATTGTTCCTCACTAGATGACATAGTTGTTTACCTGCAGAGTGACTTCACTTCCTTTGGCTCTTCCTTAAGGCAGTGCATAGCACTGTTATCAGTCTGCTCTAGAGAAAGAGCTTAGGATCCTCACAAAAGCTTCCCTGGCACATGGTGAGGCTCTTTGTTTGGCTGATAAATGCCACCGTGGACTTTGACAGCAGATGCAGCGCCTGGCTGGCTGGGCTCTGGGGCTTTTTATTCTCCTCCTTCTTCCTACTGAATGCTGAGAGCAAAATAATTCCAAAGTCAGAAAAGTGCGTGTGGAAAACTAGTCACTGGACCTCTGACACACAGGAGCAGAAAAACCTGAAGCTAAGTTTGTCTCTTTCCAATCAACGTGCAGAACCTGTGCCTGGCATGGAACAGTAAATGTTGATGTAGATCGAGAGGGCGATTCCTGCCCAGCAGTACCAAGTGGCACTTGCAAAGCAGAGTGGGAAGAAGCCCTTGCAGCTGGTGGTCAGGCAGTTGAAGCGGAGAGGATGCTGCAGAAGGCAGCGCCACTTTTACTATTACTCCATCTCCTTTCAGGGTGCCTTCAGCTTCACCGAAATGTCTTTGTAATTTAAGTATTGTTTCCAAGATCAGCTTGTTAATAGATGTTGAATTTGTTTTGATGCCTTTATAAATTATTGGAATATTGCTGAAAATCAACTATTAGAAGTGTTGTTTTTCCAAACCTTTCTTTCGAGTGCATCAGCTGATTCCCCCAGTAAGGTCACCTCAGCAGCAGACACTGACCTTGTGAGGCAGGAAACCCTGTGTCTCCAGCTTCTCCCAGGGAAGGAGCTGGGCTATCCTGAAACACAGCGACTGGGGGGGAAAAACCCCAACAAAAGTAAATCCTCAGGCCCTGGCTGCAGCCCATTGGTGCCTGTGGGGCTCAGAACTGACTGGACTGAAAAGCTGACCCAGGGAACAGCCAAAGCTTTATTTAACGAGGCAAGGCTGGGGCCGCTGCTCCCAAGCGAACTGCGTGTCCAGGCTGGGGTGGCTTCTGTTGTGAGTTCTGCTAGTGCTGGCAGCACGAGCCATCCCTGACTGGAATGGCAGCATCTGATGGTCTGGAAAAAGACATTGTTGCCAGTAACTATAAGTCGCACACCCATAACTAAGTTAACGCCTCTGCTCCTTAACGCTGTGCCCGTTTCACGCTGTCGGGAGCTGCAGGACTTGCCCGAGGCTGCCTGAGATGCCTCACACCTTCTCTCCACATCAAGCTAGACGGCACTTGCCTGCTAAAAGTTGTGCAAGTGCTCGTCTTAGGCTGTGCCTGCCCCCTCGCAGCGATACTCAGCCCCTGGGGCATCCAGCACGCAGCAGCGCGCGGGCCCCTTTCTCAGCTCCAGCCTCGGCCCAGCACGAGTAGCGATGCCACCAGCGCAGGAACCGGCCCCTTTCCTGAGAGCTGTCAGTCACCCTTCGGTATCCCCAGGACCACGACCGCGAAACCTGCAGACAAGCGCGTTTCCAGGGGGCATGTGCCGAGCACTCGAGTCCTCACCCGTTTGGTTTTTGATTTTTCCTCCGCCCACGCCGAGTGGATAAAAGCAAGTTCATCCCATGTTCCTGACAGCCACGGGGCAATCGAGGCTGAAACCCACCACCCTGCCCTCAGGAGAGGCCTCCCCTCGCTCTGTGCCAGGAGCAGGAATTCTTGCAGCTCCTCTCAGCAAACAGGTGACCGGCCAGAGATGCCAGAATCATGGCATTTCACCCCAACTCTGCGGCAGGAGGAACACACCAAAGCCTGACTCCAGGCCCTGCCCTTTAACTGGTGCAGCACACGCACCTCCCGCTGCGCACGTTTCCCATGATCTCAAAACACATTCAAAAAGCTACATTAAAAACAAACAACAAGCAAAAAAGGCCTCTCTCCTTCTCCGCGCAGGTTTTGCAGTTAATGACTCATCAAAGGCAACGGCAGAGCACAAGCTGTTACCATGGTGCTGCACTGGCTCCAGTCTCCCACGTTGCACGCTTCACGTGACACTCCAGACTTGCAAGATTAAAATACAAAACGGCTAGGTAACAGTTCAGAAGGGTATTATTTTAGGGCGAAGATTTAAGACAGTTTTAAATAACAAGGCAAAGTAGGGAAGATACTTAAAAAGGAGATGCTTGTGGTCTCGCATGAACAGAAGTGCAGTACCCCAAGGCCCGGCCGTACCAAACCCCCTCACAATGATTTCCCCTGTTCTCTCCACCCAGAAAACATGTCGCCGCCCTCCCCAGCCAATATTAAGTCTGAATGAACTTTGGAAGTTGACTGAATTTATTTGGAGATGTAGGGGGAAGGAACGCATCGCGCGGGACTGTCGGTGATAACCGCACAGCAATAAGCCAACCCCACGAGGGCAAACTGCTAGACGGGACTTCACGTTCTCTACTCTGCTAGATTATTCACCTCAACTCTTAGTAAAAAAGCAGAAATAAAAAAAAAGTTAGTCA